CCATCGTTCTTAGGTTGCAGGTCATCGCGATTAGGTTGGAGGCCATCACGATTAGGTTGGAGGCCATCGTTCTTAGAACAAAGTCGGATTCAGAAACTGCACTGTATTCAGAAACTGGTCTTCAGAAACTATTGCGTTGTATTCAGAAACTATTTCGTTGTATTCAGAAACTATTTCATCGTATTCAGAAACTATTTCGTCGTATTCAGAAACTATTTTCGTCGTATTCAGAAACTATTTTCGTCGTATTCAGAAACTCTTTTCGTCGTATTCAGAAACTACTGTCCCTCATGCTCAGAAACTCTTATTCCCAAACTAGGGGGCGATGTGAACAACCACCTGCGTGGTCAGTTGATGCGTTCTCTTGTATTCAGGGTGGGGTGGGGGGGGGTGGGGCTGGGGCAGTAAGCTTCCGTAGGTGGTTGTGTGGACCAATGCTTTCGTGGGTTAGGGTGGGGTGGGGGGGGGAGGTGGGGGGGTGTGGGGCTGGGGCAGTAAGCTTCCGTGCATTGTTGAGGCCGGTGGCATTGTCGAGTTTCCGAATCCAAGCGGCCAGTTTCCAAATACAACAACCGTCGAGTTTCCGAATACAACCATTCCAGTTTCCGAATACAACCGTCGAGTTTCCGAATACAACCGCCGAGTTTCCGAATACAACCGTCGAGTTTCCGAATACAACCGTGACCATCGTTCTTAGGTTGGAGGCCCTCGCAATTAGGTTGGAGGCCATCGCTACTAGGTTGGAGGCCATCGCAATTAGGTTGGAGGCCATCGCTACTAGGTTGGAGGCCATCGCGATTAGGTTGGAGGCCATCGCGATTAGGTTGGAGGCCATCGTTCTTAAGTTGGATGCCATGGCTCTTAGGTTGGAGGCCATCGCAATTAGGTTGGAGGACGTTGTTCTTAGGTTGGAGGCCATCGCGGTTAGGATGGAGGCCAGCGTTCTTAGGTTGGAGGCCATCCCGATTAGGTTGGAGGCCATCACTCTTGGGTTGGAGGCTATTGCTATTAGGTTGGAGGCCATTGCTATTAGGTTGGAGGCCATCGCTTCTAGGTTGGAGGCCATCGCTCTTAGGTTGGAGGCCATCGCTCTTAGGTTGGAGGCCACCGCTCTTGGGTTGGAGGCCACCGCTCTTAGGTTGGAGGCCATTGCTATTAGGTTGGAGGCCATCGTTCGTAGGTTGGAGGCCATCGTTCTTAGGTTGGGGGGCCATCAGTATTGGGTTGGAGGCCATCGCTCTTAGGTTGGAGGCTATCGCTCTTAGGTTGGAGGCCATCGCTCTTAGGTTGGAGGCCACCGCTCTTAGGTTGGAGGCCACCGCTCTTAGGTTGGAGGCCATCGCTAGTAGGTTGGAGGCCATCGCTCTTAGGTTGGAGGCCACCGCTCTTAGGTTGGAGGCCACCGCTCTTAGGTTGGAGGCCATCGCTCGTAGGTTGGAGGCCATCGCTCTTAGGTTGGAGGCCACCGCTCTTAGGTTGGAGGGCATCGCTTTGAGGTTGGAGGCCATCGCTCTTAGGTTGGAGGCCACCGCTCTTAGGTTGGAGGCCACCGCTCTTAGGTTGGAGGCCATCGCTCTTAGGTTGGAGGTCATCGCTCTTAGGTTGGAGGCCACGGCTCTTAGGTCGGAGGCCATCGCTCTTAGGTTGGAGGCCATCACTATTTGGTTGGAGGTCATCGCTCTTAGGTTGGAGGCTGTCCTAAGAGCGGAGAACCGGAAGCTTCTCACGGAGGGGCAGAGAACAGGAAGGGCCAAAACGCGGAAGGAAGGGCCTCACGTCCATCGGTGGGGAGAACAAAGGAGGAAGGAGATCACCCGACTCTTCGTGTTTAGATGCTTGGGTCCAGGTCATGGTGTTCAGCTGATTCTATCATGATCTTTGGGGCTTAGTTGAAATGAGTATGCTGAAAGCTTGCGAAATCCTGGAACCAAAGTGGGATTTGTATCAGCATATCAGAAAGACCTCTAATTTTGTGTGTTCCCACCTGATTCGCTCTTCGTGCTACTTGACAGGGGGTAACCTTTGAAAGCAAATGTTTTGCCAAGATCGCATGCGCAGGCTCACATGGACGGGAATGTGACCACGGTTGCTTTCGTCCGGGCCATGTGACAGACTGTTGAAGCATCTGATGGGAATGTGGACTTGGCAATAGGCCACGTCAGTTGCAGACGCGGGTGATGATCATGCTTTGCTTCGTTTGTTTGCATTTGCATGTCCCTGCAAGGGCAATCTTTGGCCCACTCAATGGCCAGATGTTTCAAAATAGAGAAAGTGAGGCTTGAACTGATCGAGATGGGCTGAGGATCAGTTCAAGCTGGAGATGGCTGGAAAGTCCTGCATGGTGCCACGCTGGAATGTTCGTCCCGGCAGCTCTAGAGACACAACAGGCCAACCATTTGGCCTTCCGAACAGATGCGCGTAGAATCTAAAACAGACACAAAGTCAAGTAGCTGACCAGGTACTTCAGTTTGAAGGGATTGCATGTGTGGCTAGATAGCATCTTACAACCGTTTCTTCGGAGGTTCCCGCTAAAAACTGAAGAACCACATTTTTCAACTGCCTGGACGCCGGAGGTACATGGCTCTGGACCCTTGCTGAGCAACCTTTGTAAATCCATCGCCATCGATGAAGATGACGAGGTGAGGATCAACATACAAAGACCTCGTGCAAATCTTGAAGGGCGCCAAGGCATCCAACTGCAATTTAGGAGTCACAGTGAGCCGACCAGTGAGCAGACCCAAATAATCGGCTAGGTCTATTGACTCTGAGGGTTTCTAGGGATGGTCGGTTCCCGATGGTCGAAGGCACAAGCAGACCCTGCGACATGTTGCTTGGAGTCTGCACCGCAGGATGACGAGGATGGCGAGGCGGAACACAAGCCGCAATGGAAGAAGGCGAGCGGAACTCTTCACTGGAGGAATTCAACTTTATAACCCCTTTTTGAGGCTTACCAGGCAAGCAACGCGTGAGAAAGGAGGGAGGTGAAGCCTTCTTCGCAGACTTCAGGTCTCAGGACTTCCCATCTCATTTTCCCATCTTCCCATCTCAGGACTTCGAGCGTGGCTGTGGACTGGAAGTCTATGAGGCCGAATGTAGGCCGCATAGGCGGTTGGAGGCCATCGCTATCAGAATCAGAAAAAGGAACGGAAGAAAGGTTTAATATAGTTTGCTAGTAGGCTACTAGGAGGTATGCACGCCGAATAGGATGGACGAGAGATGGACGGGACTTTGAAAAGAGCTGTTCACACACATCTTTTATGCGTGGACATATTCCAAAAGATGGGTTGAAGATAAGCATGTATTGGACACTTTCCGCAAAGATATACATTATACAGATCGTTTTCGATGTAGCTTTTGGTTACTGACCGTGCCAGCTCTTTCGGATGGGACCGTGCCATGGAACGAACTGAAACGGCCAAGTACCGGTTGATGGTCATACAGCTTGGCCGGCTGCACACAGCAACCGGTAAGCTGTTCTACAGTGAACTCAGTGGAAGCCAAGCAAGTGGGAGTGACCTGACTGCAGGTGGAGCTGAGCCCTGTCTATGCTCAAAGAGATGCAACCTTCATTGAGGCACATTCAGAGCCTCAGGTGTTTGGCTTGGCGAAGAAGCAGGGGGGACCTTCGGATTTGCTGGAGACCTTGGTATTGGGTGGATGTTTAACAGAAAAGACACCTTTGTTGATCTTTGTTGCAGGGAATGTTTGAGACCTTGAAGGAATCAAATTGGATGAGCAATGTGCACCACCTAAACTTGGAATCATTCTTCTAGTGTGCTGGGGCAGGTTTGTAGTCTAGTTTCCTTTGTTTCTTGATTCCTTTTCCACTACCTGCAACCAGACTAGCCCTTTGAAATGGATTGCACTACCCGTTCAACGGCTTTCGACTCCTGCGAGGTGGTGGTAGACATCATTGAGCAGACGGGTGGTCTGGTCTATCTGGTGGGTGAACTCCTCAGATTGACTTCTCTCAGAACGGAAGACGCTCTGCCCGGGTCACCCAACGGGGGTCACTTGGAGTTCGTACCTCCTCGCTTTCCTCACCGTCACCGGGTTCACCGAACTCGTCACCCGGTCGCTGTCCTGAGGCCTGGTGGAGTCGCGCACCGACAACAAGTGCGCCCACCCAATCAGTGGAAACGGCCCCGTTGGATGCGTTGGGCCCCATCGCGTTTTTAGGTTCAATGCCCTTTTCTTACGTTCGTAGCGTCGTCTAGCGACTGGTAGCTAATGCCCTTGTTACGTTCGTAGCAATGCTTCTAGTTGTGTTACAACTTTTGACTGAGGAAAGTCATCATCAACCCGGGTCCGACCTTCAAGATCAAGCAGGTGCGAAGATTCGCACTTCTCTGCAACCCTGTGGGCACTGACTCTGACCATTAGAGAACCTCGCTCTGAGAGGATGAGAGGACGAGGACTTATTTTTTTTTCGAGATGTAGAACGGAAGGAGCAGGGCTTAGAATGGGACTCAAGTCTTTAGAGGCTCTTCCGAGATTCGGAGAGGCTCGGTGACGAAGAAAGCCAGGCCATGCCCGGGTTCAAGATCATGGGAATTTTCTTGGCCTCAGACCGTGAGGCTGGTCGGAGCTACAGCTCAGATTGGGATGGGATGGACACAACAAAAATCACTAAAGAGCCAAGAAAAAGAACGTCGCGACCGAGCACGTCGGATGCTCAAAAAGTAAGTAAGGTCTTCCAAGTGTTTGAGATTTGGCTGAACGGGACGACTTCTTTGATATTATTTTCATTTGAAAAGGTCGGGATTTGTCTTCACTTGTTCTCACGGATTTACTGATGTATGACTGTATGAATGAAAAGGTAGGTAAGTCCGATCTTTGACGTCTCAGAATTCTTCAGGTTCCATTTCGTGCACTGCCCGTGTTTCGGGCTGCCGGTGTTGGTCCTGGGACACCACAACATACCAGGTTAGAGTTGTCCAAAACTGAGCGAACAATTTAAAGTTCAGGAACCTTTGCCGGGTTCAGAGACCAGATTTGTCGGGTTCAGCAACTGGTTTGGTCGGCCCGTTCAGAAACCAGTTTTTGTGTTCAGTAACTAGCTTTGTCGAGCTCAAAAACTGTTTTGGGTTATCGCGGGTCCAGAAACCATTTTTTTGTGGGGGGTTAGGGAGGTTAGCGGGTTATTGACATGACATTCATGTGAGCAACTGTGCAGTTTCCGAGGGCAACTTTCCCAGTTTCCCAAACCCAACGTTTTAGTTTCCAGCCTTAACGCTGACCTACACTGGGCCGTTGGAGAAGGCATATCATTCTTTGCCGGGGGGGGTTGTAAGAGTTTGGAACACCTCATGCTGCAAAGGATTCAGAGGGCACAGGGGGGGCTAGGAACAAGAAGCTACTAAGGGCTCCTGGCCTTACTACGAACGGAGCGTCAGGACGCTACGAATGGGGCTCCTGGCTCTTCGAGCTTTTGTCGAGCTCGACCCTTGCCCCAAGGCCATCATGCAGTGCGACGTGGGCATGGTCTTCCTCGGGCGTCGGGAACGAATCTCCATGGATGACGTTGCCCGGCAGTGCATGAGATGAGATGGGAGCAAAGCAAGGAATACAGATATGAAGGAAAAGGATACTTACAAAAAAGAAATGTCAAAAGAAAAACACATGGAGAACATGTGCTTTTCAATCATTCTTGCTGGCACGATTTTCGGACAAACTAGTTGGACACGCAAGCTTCGGTCACTTACAGCTTTTAGATAATGAGACCATGTGAGACCACCCCACAACTTTTTTCGAAGAATTAAACTTCTGGAGGCATGATGAGTAGACCGTGTCATCAAAGCTACAGTGTCGGCCGGTCATTCTGTGAATGAAGCCAATGGTGCTAGGCCGCACGAAGGGCAAATTGACTAAACCTTCACTTCTCATTCTTTTTTTACAACATTCCTTGACCGAGGGCGACGCTGATCGAGAAGATGAAGTAGGCTCACTGCTTCGTTTTGCCAATACTAATTTCTTTTTTTCGGCAGCTTTGGCATCGCATCACAGAAAAGTAAATGCAATCTAATTTTTGGAAAGTCCGTAGGTTTTTGAGACACTCCCATGCCCACCCGTGCCCCATGCCCTTTTGTATTTATTCAAGCTGAGATCTAGTCTCAAGACTCATTCCCCCAACTCTGGCTTTGTTCCCCAGTTTCACTCATACACCAATTCAGCAGTATCAAGAAATTTTTTAAAACAGACTCTGGATAAAAATTGACTCTGGGATGTCTTTGGGAATACTACTAGTATTTCAACACCAGCACCCCAGCACAGCCCCTGAGCAAAGGCTGTAGGTGGCAGAGATGGAGGAACTTCCAAAGCAACGGACTAGGAATGATCTTAGACTCATTAGCCCATTGAACATACAGTCCGACGAGAAAAATAACTTAAAGTGACTGAATCTTATGCGCTCCAGCTGGTCGATGATGAGATCAAGGGAGTTGATGACCGCCTGCAAAGCCGTGCGAGTTCGATGGGACGATGGGGAACATAAACTTCAAGTTGAAGCTTACCAGCTGGCCTCAATCTTTTGCTCAGCAGAGATAGGGGGCATGCTGAAGTCCGGCGAGAAAGGTCAATGTCCGTTGGGTCCGGAGGATTTGAGTCAAAAGCTGCGGTCCAATGGCAAATGAGAAGGCTACTGGTACTACCTGCCACAATACTATTAAAGATCATTTTGAGCAAAAGAAAAACTCCAGAAACATGCCAGGCAGACCTCTGTGTTGATGAAGATGAGGTAGAATGAAGCACAGCAACAGCAGCAACAGCAGTAAAAATAGGATGTCCGGCGAAGCTATGTATTATGAATATCCCAGAGTCAATTTTTATCCAGAGTCTGATTTAAAAAAATTGCTGATAGTCTTTAGCAGACCTGCGAGGTGAAGCAGTGCAGAAGCTCAAAGCCAAGGAAGACGAGGTCCCTGAGATGAATCACGTGAGCCTTAAAGCTGAGCACAAGGCCAGGAGAGACGTCCCATACGTTGGTGTGGTGCATTCAGGTGCATCCATTCTTTCTCTGCATTTGGTTGACATAGCAAACAGGCTTAGGCTTAGATGTTTGCATTTGAGAATGCTCCAGATGTTTGGCTGAAGAAGTCCTGAAGGCTTTTGCCTTTTCTGGACATGTTGTCATCACTTGCAGGCTGCCGCGGTCCACTTGGCCAAAGTTGCCAGGAGGTGGGAGAAGCGTCCGTGCTCCTAGTAGCGATGCCCTTGTTCCTAGTAGCACAACCACAGAACAGTTGAGGATTTGACTTGCGAATAGTGTAGAGTACAGATCTCCCGAAGACTCTTGATGAAAAAATACCCGCTCCAGACATGGCTCACCATCAACAGGAAAACGATGGCCCTGATGGCCTCCTACAAACCAAATGGCCTCCAACCTCCAGAGTCTACATTATCCTGAGTCCGACTTCTTGGTTGGGCAACCAACCCGATGAGCCAACCGGAGCCAAAGGGCTCGAGTCGAAGTCGCAGGCACCAACGGTCGTTAAAGCCTTTGAGACCGCCACTGAAACGCTTGGCGGTGTGGAAACTGAGCGAGAAGTCAATCGATCCAGCGACTTTTCTGTTGACAACCCACTGGTTTGTAGAGAAAACCAGTCTTTGAGGGTGCCATTTGAGGGGTCCATGTTAGTGACTTGGGAGTGTACTTCTGCAGATGCAGGGTGATGCAGTGCAGGAAGCCACCGAAACACCTTTTGGGCATCTACTTCTGGGGGGGAGAAAGAAGGCCCTTAGGTCGAGATCATGTGAATCTTGATAACTTATTTACTGTTCAGATGTTCTTCAAACACCTTGCTTTATTGCTGTATACAACTACCGGAATTGTGATGGAGTTTCAATGGAGACCTTGTGCCACGAGCGGATTTTGCAATGCACCGACTGTGCCCCCCCATGTCACTTTCACCCACCTCGACCATCACCTCGACCATCCGAGGTGGGCGGCCACATCATCATTCTGGCCGTAGGCACTGAAAAGACCGAGGACACCTGGGGCCCAGCTGGGGAAATTCGAGTTGGTGGAAGTCACAGATGTATACAGATGTGGTTTTACTTGGATGTCTTCAGTTTAGAAGGGCGAAGCAAGTACAGAATGTGAATTGGTTGGTTTTGGTGATTTGTTCTCCATAGATGTTGTGCTCCAGTGTGTCTTCATCATCTTGTCTCAATCCTCACCGGATTCTTTCCGACTGTGCCAGGACCTTCGCTTGGGCATCGAGCACTTCGTGAAGCCTTTGCGACAGAACGTCATCGCAGATGAGGTGATCCCTGTGGTGGTGGTCTCGGTCGACATCTCAGGCTCTGATGGTCTGTCACCGTTGGAGGGGGGGTTTTCGAGCGCCTTTCCTCGGGCTTCACTCTTTCAGAACGGATACTCCAACCAAGAAGCGGTTGTATATTTTTCCGATTGCGCTTAGTCAAATGCGATTGCGCTTTTGACCCCCATCAACACCACACTCTCGCTCCACCCAGTGGTCCTATGATATGTCCTGTGGATACAAAGCATACAAAGCTAGGCATGGCTCAAAAGGGAAAGATGCAGGGATGATGTAAAGGACAACACACTCAAGTCAAATTTCATACTTTGCAGCTACAAGTCAACTTTCACCTTTTTACAGGAGATGTTCTGCCACTTGGACGGAATTCTTCAGGTGGAGGTCCAGCCCCAAAAGGAAACACTTAAACACACACTCTCTCTCTCTCTCTTTTTCAAGGACATTTTGACATCCCGATCTAGGCAACTCTGGAGCCCCATCTGTTTGGTTCCAACGCATGGCTTGGACAACAGCGGCCACAGCCATGCTCCCCAAGCCACAGCTTTGTTGCAGTGTTGTTCTCGTGTGCAAATGTTTGAGCCCAATCACTGCACAGCTTTCTCACTCTGAGGCCATCCAGCCTCGAGATTGGTACAATGTGGAGAATTGCGATCAGGTCCCTCACACGACCGTCGAAAAGAGATTTGCAGAGATGGTTTCGAACTGAACATGGTTTTATCTGTGGATCCTGCGGCCTGTCGTGGGAAGCAACGGCCGGTTGTTGTAGCGAAGCCGCTGCTTGGAGTAGGTCACACGGGATGGTGGCCAAATCGGCGCTCTGAACGCGAGGTCTACTTCTTGCAGGGTTCACCCACCTCTTTGCTGGATTTGCAGCGTGCCAATTTCACAGGTGCTCAAGCATCACATGTTTGCACATGAACGATAACTGTTGGACCCTCTCTGCACTCATCCTCACTCCTGGCCACCTTGCTGATCATATTTTTGACAAGTGGCTGAAGTTGTTTCCTCCCAGCTTGTTGTTTTGGACAGCTTCATTTGGTTTCCTTTGATGCCCAGCTCACAACACCAAAATTCTTGAGGTGCTTCAGCCATTTTCATCACGAACGTGGGCGCGCATGCCGACAGCGAGAAGCAGGACGGGAGAGGTCAACAACTTGATGATCGACTTGGACATCTATTTTCCTTCCGAAGAACAGACCATCCCACTTGGCCATGAGCAAAAGCGTGGAAGTCACCCGCAAATTGGTTCCCATGTCTGACAGCAAGTTCCCGGGACTACAGTTGGTTCAGACATGTTTGAACTGAGAATGAATCATCTGTAGTCTTGCTTCGATTTACTTCGGACACAGGAGAGTTGGACGGTTGACTTTGAGGCGTTGAAGCTGTTGTGGATGGAGGGGGTGGTCTCAATCGCACGGAGTTCGAGTTCCTTTTGCCTTATGATGCCTTATGATTTATTACTTTCTTTGGACCTCTAGCGGACAGTGTCAAAGTCAAAAGTAGACCTTTAGCTTTAGACATTTTTCAAAATGCCTACTGCCTACCCAGTACCATTTTCCTCAGGTCCAGCAAGAAATGGAACTCTCACGCAGTTAACTTTAAAAGAAAATCAGGGTGATCTTGAGGCATTTTGAGGTCGGCAAACTTGAAGAGGCGTATTCATGGCGTACCAATGTATTTCAAGAGATCTTGAAACGACCTCCCTTTTGAGAAGTGAGGAGCGTTCTTGCGTGCGACACCCCTAAGACCAACAAGATGAGACTTTAAAGCAACTATGACGATATCGGTGTTCTTATGCTTGCAGACTCAAGGAACAATTTGCGAACCAGCGAACCACTCCCCGTCCGATGGGTTTGATCCGTTTTGCCTCGTCGCAGACAGTCTGCGAGGTGATTTGTTGCACACGACTGGTGGAGTCGCAACTGCCCGTGGGTGCCCGGGAGCTTATTTCGCTCGCCGACGGAGGAGAAAAAGAACACCAACTTCTGCCCGTGACGTGCTTGCCGAGCGTACTTCTCCTTTCCATTTTTCCCCAAACAGTATACTGTTAGGGGTTCTCAATGCTTTAAAGAATGGTCGCCTTGGTGCTGGATGGTCTGGTCGGGTTCCCGGCCGGCTTGTCTCCCACTTCCTTTCATTTGTCTCCCAGTGCTTTTCATTTGTCTCCCAGGCTTCCTTTCATTTGTCTCCCACTTCTTTTCACTTGTCTCCCAGTTCTTTTCATTTGTCTCCCAGGCTGAATGGTTGTGGTGGGTCGGGTTCCCGGCCGGCTTGTCTCCCACTTCCTTCTATTTGTCTCCCACTTCTTTTCATTTGTCTCCCAGGCTGGGTGCTTGTGGTCCGGTTCCCGGCTGGCTTGTCTCCCACTTCCTTGCATTTGTCTCCCATTTCCTTTTATTTGTCTCCCACTTCTTTTCATTTGGCCCGGCTGGCTTGTCTCCCACTTGCTTGACTTGTCTCCCATTTCCTTTTAATTGTCTCCCAGTTCTTTTCATTTGTCTCCCACGCTGGATGCTTGTAGTCGGGTTTCTGGCTGGCTTGTCTCCCACTTCCTTTCATTTGTCTCCCACTTCTTTTCACTTGTCTCCCAGTTCTTTTCATTTGTCTCCCAGGCTGGGTGCTTGTGGTCGGGTTCCCGGCTGGCTTGTCTCCCACTTCCTTTCATTTGTCTCCCGCTTCTTTTCACTTGTTTGTCTCCCAGGCTGGGTGCTTGTGGTGGGGTTTTCGGCTGGCTTG